AATATAAAACCTGACTTTCAACTCAGTAGTAGCAAGTGTATTGCATAACACCACAATATACAACAATGCCACAGTGGGTTTTTATTGTAGTAGAAGCTTTAAATTTACCAAAATCGAATTTAAGAGTTAAAAACATTCAATGGATTTCATGCATTATGTTACAGGTATGTTGATATTTAAAAGTTAATGTTTATGAATGCAAATACAGAAATGACAATTTTTCCAGCACTCAGTTGGAGAGGGTGTTACACTGACTTTGTTAAATATACTAAACTCACAACTGTATCATTACTGAATATTTCAGTAGTGTAACTTTGTAAAATATTTTTCTTTTAATTTTTTCATAAAATGTGTATATATATATATTCTGAATACAGAAAGCTCGTTAATTTCACCTTGTTTAATTAAAAAAACAAACAAATTGCTTTTTTTTTTTCAAACAAAAGCTGTAATCAAAATTGTTTCATCATTTTTTATCTCAAAAACGATCTAAATGAATTAATTGTTGATATTACATTCTTATGATTTAACTTTGAGTTATAAAAACTGATTGATAAAGACTGAAGGTCATGATATATTTTATGTTTCTTATTTCTATTTTATTTTTATCGTTGAAATAATTTATAAACAAAAGATTAACTAATGCAATTTCAATTTTATATTTTGTATTTATTGTTAGAAATGTAAATAAAATGTAAAAATTAGAAACTTATTAGGTTACATAGGAAAACAAGTTAAAAAAATTAAGTTATAAATTTTCTCGGAACATTACGCTCACAAATTACTCATGCATTATTTAATTTGATACTCTTTTTTTATTGTAAATGAGCTATGTTCTTGATGGGTGATTTATTGCCTACTTATTAGTTTGATACAGTTCGAAGAACAAGAAAACAATAAAATTAAATGAAAGCATCGTGAAAATATTAGAGATCTAAAATTTTTGGGACAAATAATTATGATTGTCTGTTACAATCTGCTGTCATTCTAAAAAAAATGTAATTTTGATTTTATCTCATGTCATTCAGCTTTTGCTACAGATGATTTCATTACAGTTAGTATTAAAAATAAGAAAACAAGAGATAAAGGTTTATTTAAAAACTTGAAGTTCCTTTAGCAGCTTATGCAAATAAAATATGAAAAGTGTAAGATGAAAAAAGTATTTTTATTCTTAACGTGAAAATCATCTTGAAATCAAACTATTCAGTCTCAATCAGAGTCGAGACTGATTATAGTAAATTGAATGACAAATGTTTAGTCGAAATACTTTATTAAAAATTCTGATTTTTTTTCTGTACAATTTACTTCTAATGTTTATTAACATTCTACAATATTCTTTGAAGGTAATCTTAAGTGAATTTGGAATTAAAGTGAACATTAACTCTCCAGTGTAGGTGCAGTCCAATGGATCGAACCTCAGGCTTATAAGATTAAAGCATGAAGATGATTTATAAATCGTTAAATGGCCCGG